TACTTCCGGTCTCAGGAGTCCGACTACGTGCGTCGCGTTCAAAAGTTGTCAGCGTCAGCATCTGAACCCGTCTACTACATTTACTGTCTTTTTGTTAATAGCGCCTCCGATGAGTGTATGGCTGCTTTCTTACTGGATCAAAAACCAAGCGATATGTCATATAGAAACCGCCATCTTTTCGCTGCACTTTTGTTGTACAACAAGATGTAGTACTCAAGGAAGAAAATAATTAATGGGAACCATCTGTAACCACCACTGAATCAAGATTGGCGCACATTAGTGAAAAGTGCACACATTCAAAGGCGGCTCAGTAATTACCCATGTCAACACGTTCTCTTTTCCTCTACTTGATGCGACAAAAGCAACCAATGCATTATTTACGCAGGAGAAAGTAGATTTGTTGTGGACAACGCTCGCTTTTTGGCTGTTGGCTAAGTGGATATCAAAATTTCGAAATGATTTTCGTATTCATTGATTACACTGCGAAAACAACACCGGACTGTTTTCCGAGAGGAGCTAAGGCAGACAATGACAGCTTGTTTTATCATCCATCCTTTGAAAGCGTGAATGAGCTTGAATATCAGCATAGTCTTAAAACCCTTATAAATAACTCGTTTCTGGCATTCAGGCCTCAATGTAGTAGTACAGTCAGTCTCCTTTTCTGGGAGGCCAATAACTGTATTACGTTGATGTAAATATCCTGACAGCCAGTCGTCTGTGGGTAAGAGGTAAGCCATATCCTACAGCGATAACGTCCAGTTTTCGGCAAGCTGACTGGCTACAATAACCAAAACCGGAATACTAGGTATCGGCAAACACTTGTCTCATAGTTGAGATACCCAGTGCGTCGAATTCGTCGGAAATCCAGAGCTTTGTACTGCCTTTTTAGTTACGTTCAACCGATGCCAGTATTGATAGATTATAGTTCTTGGAATTAGACAGAGACTCCGTCGTGGACTGCACCTAGAAGCTTCACATACTTAGACGCTTAGCTAGGCCGAATGAATGCTTCACCCTTCAGGGCATCTCACCGAATTACTCATCCTATTGTCTCAGTGTGCCTTGCGAGAAATCCGTTACTGATACTGTGTCCATTTTTCCGAAACCATGACTAAACCGGTTGACGTTTATTAGAGCTGTTTTAAAGGTAGAGAAGAGCATTTTTAGCTGTTTGAGTACTCGAGGTACATTGGATTGTTTCTATTTCCAGTGTCGTACCCTCTGTGAGGTCGTTTTTTCCCTTATCAGCCTGTAGGCTAGGCGATATCTGGTGACGCCATTTTTCAAACGACCTATGCACAGTCTATTTTGAGCACTTACTGCTCCGGAAATCTGTATGGCTGAAGATAATTAGGTGGTGGTCAGTCTAACATTCAACTTCTACCAACACTTTGGTTCACTCAGTTCCAATAATATTGTACAAAAATAGCGTAACAGAGTAATTCTAAACGGTTCGAGCTTTTTTATATTCACATTAGCCTGTTGTACTGAAGTAGGCGGCAAGTGGTGTGTATGTTATGGTGATTGCGCTGGACTGGGTCACTGCTACAGACTACTGTCTGCGATGACTTGAATCTCGTTACTGTGTGCTGTGATCTGTTCCAGTTCGCGTATTGACTTTCCTCCTATAAATATGTTTATTCATCCTCTGCGAAGTCAGAAATTTTGCAGGAATCACCGTAGATTGGACTCTCTTTCATCGTCGCGGCCTGGCTGTAGTCACTAATGGCGGCAGATTCTTTCCCTCAGAGCGTCAGGCCTATTATCGTGTGTAGGTTGTCAATTTACTTCACGTGATAACTTTGTAATACTCTGACTGAGGAGGCGAGCCCGATGTTGTTCACTTCGACCTTGCGACGGCCTCTCCAAAAGAATGTGCATTCTTCTCCTAGGCTTTTTAATTTTTCTTGTCCTGCGTAATCAGTCTCACTGAGTGCAATATCCACGTGATATCGAATCATTTCGCAGGCGACCAGCGCTACCCTCTTTATAGTCGTTTGACTGTTTTGGTAATTTAATAGGTTAAGGGTGGCGGTGAGAGCATTCAATGCACACACAGTGAACGAATTCGCTGTCGATAATGGAGTAGGAACAGCTTCTGTGATTTCGCGCAGTTTCTCTCAGGTGTCAGAAGGGTTCACGGCAGGCTATCAAAGATAGGAAAACCAACATTATAAGCCATAATTTCTAACCATTTCTTCGACAACGATCAACTCTGCTCCCTGTATTGCGTTGCATAAAAATTTAATTATTAGGAGGGGCTGGCAGAGATGAATGATTCAACTGGTCCTATAGAATTTCATATGGGAGTTCCAGGAAGCAGTTCAGAAGAAGAAGCGACCACTGGAACAAGAGCTTTATTGTCCTGACGTTTCGGATTCTGCCAAGAATGCTTAATCATAGGTAATTGTAAAGAAGTCTGAGACATGTGTAGATAAGGGTGATACATGCACATATTGCACGGTATTTAAAGTTCGTGGCGGTCATCCGCAGTAATTGTGAGAAATTCGCGGCCTCGGTGAGATTCGGACCAACGTAAACAATTGAAGTCTTTATTATAGCCAACGCTCTGCCAACTGAACTACGAGTGTTAGTAGACTTGCGTTGCATCTGCTGGACTTTCTCTCTTTCATCATTCACCTGCACCAAGACAGAGTCAAGAAGACCGGAAGCGGGATCGGGCGGAGAAGGCTGATGCGGCGTGAGCCTGCATCTACGCCTGCCACCACGTCCCCCATGTTGGACATTAGTTATAGGAATGCAACACACAACCATTTAAGGTGACGCGCCAGCCACCCCCATCTGGTTTAGTCCTCCGACTTACCGGTTGCCGAGGTATAACCGTTGCGCTAACTTCTCCTTTATTGTGCTAGGATGGAGACTTGACCCGTCAGGCGAACGCAGCTTAGAATGACCGTTCTGTGCGACTAGCCGTTTGCTATGCATGTCAATCCATTAATATGGCCATTACTCCTTAGACGCCCGTAAGCCTTTTCAGATATTATTTTTATGAAAGCCCGATCTCCAACAAGGTGTCCGTGAGAATCATTTTTAGTAGCATTTAAGTCAAATGTGCATGAAATTTATTCAGTTCGTAAAAGTATTTATAGGATCAAATTGCCTTCCCGTAATGGTGTCCTGATCCTCCTCTCTCACCCCTAGGTTGTTAGTTTAGATGGTTAACCCACAAAAACAGTCTTGTAATAGGGCTTCCGAATTAAACTAGTATTTTCTCATGACTACATGAACAGTTCCAGTCCTACTTAACTGCCTATCCGATGAAGCTGACGGCGAGAACGGGGATGGTGTTATTAGTAGTTGGGCTTATTTTGCGTATAATTCCCTGGTAGTGGTCAATGCTGCATTTTATTAGTTATGAGAGAAGTCTGCTCAGTCAGCGGTTCTCGTCTGATGCTTCTCTTAAAGCTCCTTATCATTCCCATTGAAATGCATGCAATGCGCGAACTTTTTCATGCATGAGCCGTAGTGCAAAAAATATTTTGATGTTAAGTTTTCTGTTGTGTTCGCAGCCTTGCTTACTTGGCTTCTTTATCTCCATTTTTATTATCCATCCATGCAAGGCTAATTAATTTCCCTCTTTTTTCCTAGGCTACCTACTTTGCCTCCAATTTTATCCCTGATTATTTTCTAATCTATACAAAATCGAGATGGACTCGAAAAAGGACAAAAAAGCAGTTGGCGGTGTTTTTAAGAGTATGCTGGGTAAAAAGAAGAAGGATAGCGAAATCCGAGAGCCGCCTCCAAAGGCACCCTCCCAGGACCTCGATCTATCACACCTCCCAGACAATGAAATTGAGGCCCTCTTCGAGAATCTCATGGAAGACATGAATTTGTCGGCTGAAAAGCGTGCACCCCTACTTGAAAAACCTGTGGAGTACAAAAGAAACATGCTGAAGACTTCAAAGTATGGGGCCACTCAAGCAGCAACTAGTCCTGCCCGATACTGCAAAGACCTCAGCAGTCCACAACAGCTTAGTGAAAAGGAACTGGCAAGTACATTGACCTCTCTTAAGATAGCTCTTTTGAACAATCGCGTTAGTTGGGTTAAAGAGTTCAACAATAAGGAAAATGATGGACTTAATCTTCTACTTCGATTCCTCGGTTTGTCGCTGAGTGAAAACAACACCGACAGCACCCTGCTCAGCCTGCGTTGCATTCGAGCCCTGGGAAATTGTGGCTACGGCTTGTTCGCTTTGGTTGACCACGATACGGCTTCCACTTTCATTGCACGCTGCCTGGATGTGCACCAGCCGTGTCTAATGGAGTGCGCTCTGGAACTGCTTTCCACTATGGCAATGTGTAGTTTGAAGGGACACCAGAAGGTGATGGAGGGTCTCACCTTTAGTGCCGAGTTGACACCCAATCAGCCTCAACGTTTTGCGCCTCTCATTGATGGCCTGTCTGTCAGTGAACTCGCCTGTGCTTGTCTGCAACTCATTAATGTCGTCGTTTCTGCCCAATTCCTCACCGACGAGACCATTGATGTCGACTATCGCATTCATTTGCGTCTTGAGTTGAGTAGGCTTCATCTTGGCGAAAAGCTTGCAGAACTCGAAAAATCCAGTGATCCGAACATAACCAATCACGTGAGCATTTACCGCCGCTTCGCTGATGCTGACAATGATGAGCTCTTTGAACGTTTTGAGGTGGCGAAGACGGATCTGACTGAATGCGATCAAGTGTATCAATTGCTGAGCCGTTCACTGTTAAACACATCCTCAGAGAGATTGTTTCTATCCCTCCTACAACACTTACTCTTTGTTAGAGAAGAGCCCTACCGAGAACACTATTATGCCCTCCTGAATGAGTTAATTAGTCAGGTTGTACTCCAGACCGACGGTGTTGATTATGACC